ATTACTATCACCATAATATACAAGTTGAAAATATTTTAAACTGATGTCATTATTTTGAAAAGCAACCACCATTTAGTTAAACCTCGTGGAGACCCATTTCCGGTCGGTGCGAGTGAAACTTCTAATGTGAATTCCGACTGAAAGCAGTTACAAACCTTTACGTGGATCAGCAGTAAGAGTACATAATTACAACGCAAAAATCCGGGGTTCGGTTCCCTTTAGTGGACGCAGCAGATAGCTTAACATTGGTATAAACTTAAGAAAAACAATCTACGGTAGTTTTGAAACATTAAACAGTTTTAATTTATTCTATAATTGACAAACGAGAAATACGTTTGGTTAATTTTAAGCTCTATTCTCAAAGCTTTCTAAGGATTACAACGGTTTGAAAGACGAGAAATACGTTTGGTTAATTTTATGCTCTATTCTCAAAGCTTTCTAAGGATTACAACGGTTTGAAAGACAAGAAATACGTTTGGTTAATTTTAAGCTCTATTCTCAAAGCTTTCTAAGGATTACAACGGTTTGAAAGACGAGAAATACGTTTGGTTAATTTTATGCTCTATTCTCAAAGCTTTCTAAGGATTACAACGGTTTGAAAGACGAGAAATACGTTTGGTTAATTTTATGCTCTATTCTCAAAGCTTTCTAAGGATTACAACGGTTTGAAAGACGAGAAGTTTGGTTAATTTTAAGCTCTATTCTCAAAGCTTTCTAAAGATTACAACGGTTTGAAAGACGAGAATGAAATGTCAAGTTATACAGTTAACAACCACAGAGAAAGACAGAGAGTAACGCTGCGTGAAATTTCACTATATCCTGAAGTCAAAAGCGTTGACTAGAGTATTGAACTCATATTAAAACAAAAACATGGACACAGAACAAAAAAAATATCAAACGCTTCAGCCACTAATCTACTTTGGGAACATGCACAACTAGGGTAAACATAAAACCAAAATAAGTTTAAGTAAAATTCATCAGGGTTAATACATAAGACTGTTTGATATTAGAATATTATTTTTTCCTAACCTTTTTATTAAAATGTGTAAATCCCTCCAGTATGCACTACAAACTTTGAAAGAAGGACAGTAACCGAAATGTTGAGCAAACAGTTTTTTCTAGAACATGCTATGTGAAAGTACAGACTGGTCGTATTGGACTCAATACATTTATTGCCACACATAATATCATACATGAAGATACCACACCCTTTAATTTATAATATTTTATAATGTTTAATCTTTATTATACTGGAGTTTCTTCTTGAACGATCAAAGAAAAACTGTTTGGAGATTATCGCAAACAGAAATCACTAAAGTTCTTGGCTTCTTACATATAAAAATGTGAATATTCTGCTGATAAAACAAATATCAAGGTAGAAGTTGGTTAAGCCTACTTCAATACTGTGAACTAATGCCTTCGGATCCGTAATACTCTCAATATTTAAAGCTATCACTCCCGGACGTTTAGCAGTAATAGATAGGCCTAACTCCTACAAAGTTTCAATAAAAACTGCCAACCACAAAAAATAATAATAATGTGAAATTCGAATAGGCCTGCGAAACACTGTCATACTGAAAACAAATGTCAAACTTTTAGTTTTCGTAACTAATAGAACAGATGTAAAAATTAACATGACGAATGTATCTGACACAGAATCCATACAAGTTTACAATTACAAAAAGAGAGAGAGAGAAGAAAAAAAAAATCCTAAAGTATCTTTCAAACTGAACTTAAAGTGAGGGGAAGCCAGTTTGCAGCTATCACTCTCTCAAAACTTTCTTTTTTTTTAAAGTAAAACATACATCATACAGGAGTTCTCATTAGTGGCACGAGAAGAAAAAAAACGCAGACGAACGACTGTAGATTTCTGACCATCTGAAAACCACATCCCCTAGGTCGATGTTAGACAATGTACAGACTGTAAATATACTTGTGAGAAGATGTATAAGCAGTTGTTGATTGGAATATTAAAACAAAAATTAATGACCATATTAAAATTAGGGTGACAGGATCGTGTGATTAGATTTCCTAATATATTTCAATCAGTCATTTTGTGATAGGTTAACCGATTTAACGTGTGTGTGTGTGTTTTTTTCATATTATTTTATCTCCTACCATTTCGTACGTGGTAAAAAAGCTGATAATTCTATCTAGAAGTAGAATATTGTACCATTCTATCAGTGGAATAAGGTTGTATTTCATGATAATATAACTACTCGTATTATTATTGCGTCACATTTTTACACTGTATTTTCATACATCTTTACAAGATAGGTTGTACGTACGTTTCATATATACATACTTCCTAGAAAGCCAAACATTATCCGACAATTCTTTTGACAGGAAACGCCGTTTAAAGTTTTTATAAGAAAAAATTGTGTACTGTTGGTTTGTTACAAAATTTACTTACATATTCATTTTGAGCTTCGTCTTTATGTAGTCGATTCGTTTTTAAAGGAAACCCCAGACTACTAAGAATTTCAACCTAAATATTACCAAACACTATTCAAAATATAGTTTTAAAAATATTATGCTTTATTACGTAGATATTGATAGAGCAAGGAGAAATATACAGGGTGTCCCAAAAGTCTGGACTCATATGGAAAAATACACAATTTGTTCTTAATTTATTTATTATTCAAACTGCATGCCATTAACAGCCACACATATATCAATTCTTAGTATACTGTGCCATATGGGTCCATTCTCCTGGGATACCCTGGATATTCGAACTCGAAAAAAACCAAGCAAAAAAAAAAAGATAAATATTATTTATCAATAAACTATTTATCCGTTTAATTATTATCACGGTTCAAAATATAATTTAATCAACGTTTTAATTTACATTGATTTATAAAGACATATAATATTTTACAAGAAGTTAAAAACAATAAAAAAAAACATGACAGAACAAGGAGACCCAAAGACCGTCACATGCCTCACAATAACAACCACCCAAATCATGTCAACAAAATATTTTACATAAGTTTAAACCAAACTTTGAAAACCATATCACATGTATACAGCTCTAACATAGAAAATATCTATTGTTATTACTGCCCTATTCAATAAATTTCAGTGCTATTTACGAGTCCTATTTTGTAAGAGTCGACTAGCGATATTAATGCTATTGCTAACAAAGATCTGAGAATACGCCTACACGATATCAACCTAAGAACCACAAAGTAAACAGTTAATCTTCAATCTTCGGAATTCAAAACAAATAAAAAAAGTAAGAAACAATGTGAGAATGATATAAATCTCGATCCAAAACCACAATAATCCAAGTACTTTCGGAAGGTAAACCTAAACCTGTCTACAATCAATTATTCTTCACAATTCGTCCAAGAAAAAAAAAAAAGATGGAAGGATCTACGTAAGAAAGCACTCTGGTTATTGGATTTCTAGAAATGTGGTTCTGTCGCATCAATTTGTTGAATGTAATAAATACTGATAGTTATACTATTAGTAGTACTACACAGCATGTTAGTATATGCGTCTAAACTAGGTAAACTTACGAACAAACTGGCCTCTTTAAGTGTAAGGAAATAACTGTACAAAACAAAAGTAAGCAAAATATAACTTGTACTCATAATAAACTAGGGTACCCAATCACCGAAAATATATGAAAACATATTTTTATACCGATAAGAAACAACTTACAAGCACTTGCCTATAAATGTAAGATGTTTTAATTTAACTATGGTGCATTCGTGGGAGTCGAAACAAAATCATTTAATAATGACAAAAACGCCCCTCGTGGTGTGGCCTATGTGAATTTGAAATTAAATATAACAAGACGCTTTTGAATCCGTCCCAGATTAACGATGCATTTTATTATTTATTTATTTGTGTATTTACTTTATTAACTAATTAATATATTATCTAATTTTTAGTACTAATTCATTCATTCATTACATAAAAATTCAACACTTTGAACACGTTCTCCTCGAAGCGGTTTCATATATGCCGTTTAAAGATAGTTAAATTTAACCTGTAAAAATTAGCAAGTTTCAATACCAAAACACTCAAATTTACCCTATATAGTTTTATTTTATAAGTTTTAGTTAAGCTTTTTTTATGTAATAACGTTTATTTTCACTTCTTTTTTAGTGATTAGGCTTTTGTAAGTTAGGTAGGAATGAAACAATAAAGCAACGTAGAGATACGAGTCCTCATTCTAGAACTTGTAGAAGTGAACGTTGTTTAAAGCAATACTGAAATAAGATTATTATTAATATAAAGTCAAAGTTGCTAATAAAGTGCCTTTATATACAATTTGGTAAGAACGATTAATAAATACACCAAATCAACAGATTATTTGTGTTTGTGGAATTATAAAGCATAAAATAAGTATCTAAATTCGAGAAATGAAGTCGATTTTAAAACATTAGAAGAAAAAATTAATCTAAAATAAAAGCAGCTTTTATATAAAAAAACGGTAATATACCTATAAAAAAGTATAAGTAGAAAGTACTATTTGTAAATTGTAGTCTGATAAATTTTGATACAAGTTAGTCTCTACAGTTTAAAGTGCAGAGGTAGGCTACTTGTTGTTTTCAGCAAAATAATTATTGCATCGTTTAAAATAACTATGTTACTGTTAAGAAGAAATATATTTCGTAAGTATATATATATATAGTATCTCATACTTATGAGACTTTTACAAGATAAATACATCAAATAAAAATATCTCTACGGGTGGGCAATGAAACCTGAGGGGTTTACGAAAAACTAACCCAAAATGAAAAAAAAAATCGTAATATTGTCTGTTTCAGGCAAAGATTGCAATATTTCTTGTATTTTCTATTATAAATAGATAATTTTACGTCGTGACTAAAATTATCATATTTGTAGCTTGCCTTAAGTTAAGTTCCAACTCAGTCGGAACTACTTGCTCATGATGAATCTTTAAAAATTGAAAAAAAATTATTAATAACAATAAAAAGCTGAAACTTGAAAGCTGAATATAAATTATGGCTTACATAATTACTTACTGTGTTTTGACGTTTTGTATCTTGCCAAAATACGTGATAATGCTGATAAATCCTGAGATTTAATAGCTTGGAAAAGCTCGTGGTCTTTAACCATTGTCGTTAACATCGAGAAAACTACGTTTTCTCCCAGAGTAACACGTGGAAGAATCGTTATGTTTTAGCTGAACGCTAACTTCGTAAGCTAAAATCACGTCAAGTCTTCAGACCCTAGTTACAGCCGAACTACCTATCCAAGTCGGTGACCTAAAGCAACAGTGGTTTGTTAGATCTTGCACATTTCGTGAGATTTATCTTCAAAATCGTGAAGCACTTCTCTTCCAAGAGATGTGCGTGTCGCCCTTTTGTGCTTTACAACAAATATTTCTTTCCAGTATAGCTCTTGTCGTATCTAGTGATGCGTGTCTTGATCACTGGCAATCCTCACTGACATTACTACAACTTCCTTCCCTGATAGCATGATGTGTTTTGCCTTGAAGGTTCGTTTACACATCGTACGATACAGTTAACAAATGCGCATGCGCCATATTCAACCAATTAGATGACTTCCAAATAGTTGTTCGTTGGCGGGAATTAACGCTTGAGTGATTGTTATCCAGATGTTCGTATATGTAAGGTGTTTTCTGTATACGAAAACAAAGACAAATTAATATGTTAAAATATTCTATTTTAGCTTTTCTCTAAGGTGATTATTGTTTAATATCTAGTGTTTATTTTCTTTTTCTCTACAAATATTTTACTTCATAAACTTTGTGTATGTAAAATGAGCCCCAACGGAATTCCTGGCTTGTAAAAGCGCTTCTCACACTGCCTTATTTAAATATAATACATGTTGCTCTGAAAATATAGTATTTAATCTTACTAATCTCGAAACATTAAATTGCAAACGTTGACTAGATAACGGAATCTTGGATTTTATGGATTTATCATTTACTTGTAGCGATCGCATAAAAGTTTTTGCACGTTACAATCAGTCAAATTAAGAGCTATATTTGCAATAACAATCAGTAAATTTCAACAGCCATTTTGCCACTGGCTATTTCTAACAAACTGATAGCCAGAGAATGTTACTTGAAACAAAGAAAGCCTGAAAGTAAATATAAAATTGAAGCAACATACTTGTGGATTAATTAAGTTACGTGACATATATATATATATTTGAGGTGGTCGTGGCTTAGTGATAACCTGCCCGGACTGTAGTGATCCAAGGATTTATGTCTCGAGACTCGTTGCTGCAGTTTAGGTCTGTAAGAGCGACGCTCAAATCCCACAGTTCAATCAGACAAGAGCAGCCTAAGAGTTTTGTGATAGGTATTGTTGATTAGCTGCCTTCCCTCGAGTTTATCAGTTGAAAATTAAAGATGCATTACGCAGATAACCCTTTTATAGCTTCTTTCGAAAATTCTGAGAAAAATAAAATTTAACTAAAACTAACTTATGTCACCTGATGCTGACTTAATTAGCATAAGTGAATATAGTAGACTGGTGTAATTGGAGATATTTCATATGTAAAATTACAATAATTTGTGCTCAATTGAGCATGATGTTGAAAAATTATCTCGTGAGATATTATTAGGATTACGGCCGAAAATATCGTTAGCAGCGAGGGTACCCAACTGATAAAACAGTGCACTCTAATCTTCATAAGCAGAAACGTAAGAAAAGTATATCTAATTAGCTATACTGATGGCCAGGTTGATTTTCAGTTTTGCTCTAAGTACATAGCTTACTCTGATCAGATGTTATTGTTGTGTTCTATTCTGTGAATTAAAAAATGCTTTGATGGACGAATAAGGATATAACGAGGATACCCTAGCGACTGCGCCCTTTTTCTGCTGGTTGGTTGATCAATTTCATGCATATGTTGGCTGGTGATTAAACAAGATAACATCTCAGTGGATATTTCCAAAATATTCACTATGATTATTTCTAATGGTTCCAACTGCAATTTTAAGTATTTGTTTGTTTGTTTGAAGTTAAGCACAAAGCTACACAATGGGCTATCCGTGCTCTGCCCACCACGGGTATCGAAACCCGGTTTCCAGCGTTGTAAGTTCGCATACATACCGCTGTGCCACTGGGGGGGGGGCTTTAAGTATTTGAAATTTTATTGTTCGTTATATATCAATATTTTTATTGTTGTTGTTATTGTTTTCGGTGAATTACACAATAACTATAACTTCAGACTTTATGTCATTGTTTGATGGCAAACGAAAACTAAATATATCAAAAACTTTCTGAACAACACTGTAATAATATACTTGTACTGATTTAGCCTAGCTTTAACGGTTAATTTATTTTCCATTAAAAATCAACGCTCATTTTTGGTGTCATAAAGCCACAATGAGTAAAATTAAGAAAAAGTATTTATCGACACTATTTTAACCTTAATCTAAGTCGTAACGTATAGTTCAAGCACGACAATCACGGTGAAATGAACATTTAATGACTTTAATCTACTTATTATTGCTTTCGAATAACATCCGAGAGATTGACAGATAATAATGAAAGCAGAGGTGTCAGGTTTCTCGTCATAAAAATTATTAATGTTTTAATTTGTTCATGTGAACCACAACAACACGTCACTCGACAAAAGATGATGGCACTTCGCAAATAATCTCTAACTTCATTCTCCACCAGATTTGTGACGTCACGAAGAAAAAGACAAGAGTAGGAATTTAATATTGATTTTAGCTCTTAACACGAGGTACTTGTTACTTAATGAAACAACATAATTCAACACACCATTTTTTAACTAAATAAAGAAATGACACCGATCGACTAGTAATCTACGTTTACACGTGCAATATTATTTTTACATTATATATTTTTTTACTTTACATTACTTATACATGTTTACGTAAGACATGTAAAATATGCCTCCAGACAGAAGTTTTTTTTCTTAACTAAATTTTTTGTTCTTTTTTCTGAGAAGTTAGAGGGCGCTTTGTAGCTTTTTAAGATATACTTTATCTCCCGTTTCATATTCTAACCTTTGGAAACAACTTATTTTAAAACAAACTTTAGCTTTAGAGACCCTAATTGTCACATCGTATCCAGAGAATTAGAACTTGTAACGATAACTAAAAATAGTATTTTAACAACAACGCATGTGCCAAGATCCCACGAGTAGCAGTGAAGACACATATAGTTTGTTTGTTTGTTTGTTTTTTAATTTCGCACAAAGCTACACTAGGGCTATCTGCGCTAGCCGTCCCTAAGTTAACAGTGTAAGACTAGAGGGAACGCAGCTAGTCATCACCACCCACCGCCAACTCTTGGGCTACTCTTTTACCAACGAATAGTGGGATTGACCGTCACATTATAACGCCCCCACGGCTGAAAGGGCGAGCATGTTTGGTGTGACGGGGATTCGAACCTGCGACCCGCAGATTCGAGCGCCCAAACCACCTGGCCATGCCGGGCCTGAAGACACATATAGATAAGCAGGCAGATGGGTAAATAGATGAACTTCTAGCCATCCATCTATGTGCTGCTTTATTTCTTCCATTATGAGAATTGAAGCGAAAAATTCGACATCATGAAAAATATTAGAACAGTCTTTTTTTATTATAATGTGACGGTCAATCCCACTATTCATTGGTAAAAG